GAATACTGAATACTGAATACAAGATACTGGATACAGGATTACTGGATACAGGATAATGGATTGATACTGGATACAGGATACTGGATCCAGGATACTGGATACAGAACACAGGATACTGGATTGATACTTGATACTTGATGCAGGATACTGGATCCAGGATACTGGATTCAGAATACTGGATACAGGATACTGGATACTGGATACTGAATACAGGATATTGGATACAGGATACAGGGTACAGGATACTGGATACAGGATACAGGATACAGGGTACAGGATACTGGATACAGGATACAGGGTTCAGGATACAGGATATTGAATGAATACTGGATACAGGATACAGGATACAGGATACAGGATACAGTATGTTGAACTTAATAGAGGATACAGGATTCTGGATACTGGATACAGGATACTGGATACTGGATACATAATTCTGGGTACATGATACTGGGTACATGATACTGGGTACATGATTCTCAAATAAACACTTCTTGGACATATCTCAAAAATTATGAATGAATTTTGATTGTCAATTGAAACATCAATCTAATATTATTTAGAATGCAGAAAATAAGTTAAACTAACTTCATTTTGACGAGAATTTTTTTTTTATTTTCATGAAAAATTTGCTGAAATGAGTGAAAATTTAAAAAAAAGGTGTATTTTCCAGGATAAAAATCCGTACAATCCGTACAATTTGAAAACAAATCCGTACAATCCGTACAATTTTAGGGTTAAAAAAAATCAATCCGTACAATCCGTACAATCCGTACATTTTGGCCACCCTGAATATATTACGATGAAATTGTTAAATTAGGATACATCTGAGAAAAACTCAAATATAGACCCTCATATTTGTTAACAAAATGCAATATATTGAGATATATTGAGATGAAATTTTAAATATTTTATCTCATAAAATATAAGGAGATAGACCTGAACCCCCCCTCCAACATATTTGTTTTTCAAATCTCGGCTAAATTCAAATCTCAGCTAAATTCCAAATAAACCCACCTATATTTGTGAATTCAGGATGCTCCTTTACCATATACATTTAGGGGAAACAAATAATCAGGAAAAGATAGTGAAGGGTAATTCTTGAAAAGTACGTGGAGAAAATCCCCCAAAAAAGGAGCGCATTCAGCAAAGAAAACCCCGGTCTTGTAAATTTTACCTGTCTCCATGCACCTTCCCATCATAGTTCTTGATCAATTCCTCGATAAACATACCGTCCTGGTCTAATAAAATCAATCAATCAATCAGTCAATCAATTAATTAATTATTTTTAATCAATCAATCAATTAATTAATTATTCAATCAATCAATCATACAGTTAATCAATTAATAAACTAATTAATGCAATTAAATCAATGAGACAGTAAATCAATTAATTGATCAATCAATTAATTATTAATTAATTAATAAATTATTTTAAAAAATCAGTAAACAAATTAAACAATGTTTATGTGAATAATTTAACCAAAGCAGAAAACAAGCCTAACTTAATTACCTAAAACCTCATCCCCCATGTATGGAATATTGTGGAGGACCATCTCGTCGTCGACCATGAAGTTCTGCTGGATGGGGGCCCAGGTGAACATGTTCGGGATGGGGTTCACAGCGTTGATGATCTTTATCGGGATGGACTGTATTTTCCCCTCGTTGTCCTGTACAGTGCACAGTATACAAAAAATAAACATTTTGAATTTTGGAAAATATTTCTCAAAAACGCTAAAATGGATGCTAAACGCTAAAGGGAGTTGAAAAAGGAAGGAATTGTTGAAAAACGCTGAAACTGTTGAAAAACGCTGAAACTGTTGAAAAACGGAAAAATGGTTGAAAAAAGAAGAAAACGGTTGAAAAACGAAGAAACGGTTGAAAAACGAAGAAATTATTGAAAAACGGTTAAAAACGCAGAACCCGTTAAAAACACTGAAACATACGAAAAACATTGCAACAGCTTTTAAATTATCATTTTTAACATATATTTTTAACATCTAGTATCAGCTTGCCCAATCAAATTACAGGGTGGGCTGAAAAAACATCTATCATCAGCTTGCCTAATCAAATTGCAGGGTGGGCTGAAAAAAACTGACCTTAGCTTCAGCTCTCCTGATGAACTGTGAGTGAGCGGGGGGATCCTCAGAACACACCCACACAGGGCAAACACTCTCATCGTTATTCTTAAATAAAAATTATTCTTTAATGGATTGTGACCCGTTATCCAAATAGATGAATGCTACACAACGATACTTTCGTTTGACCATCGCTTTAGAATTTTTAAGTTGAGCTGAAAACTTTAGAATGGTGGATATCAAGATCATTGCTTGATCTCCTCTTTTTTATTAATCTCCAGATTAAATAATGCTTGTTCTCCTCTTGTTATTAATCTCCAGATTAATTAACAGATCGGGATAAAGGATATCCCATTCTAAAGTTTTCATCTCTGGCAAAACAAGGATATCTTTTAAGTATAAAGGGACTGTAAGCGCAATTTCAAGTGATCCTCAATGCAAAGATTGTTACGCCCAAATCACAACAGTACCATTGAAACCTTTATCGGATCAATAGTGTGGACGACATTGTTAGATTCTGCCAAGTCCTAAATTTTTTATTGCAGTAGAACTGGGCAAGTCACTTTTTTAGAGAAAACATAATTGAAAATAATCAGTTTTCGAAATTGTAAACATTGATATATATTTAATTGATCTATCAAAGCTTTTTAGGAAGCCATTGTTAATAGGGCATTGTCATCTTTGCAGAGAGGGTAAATTTAAATCACGCTTACAGTCCCTTTAATTACGAGGAGAGCTTAAGAAAACATTCGGAGAATTCAAGATTATTTTGAAGAATTTTATTCAAAAGCTCGTTCATATTATTTTATACCCTGACAAGTTTGATCATAGATTTGAAAAATATTTATAAATTAATAAAATATATATAATCTAAAGAAACATTTCCCTTTACCTTTGATTTCATATTTTCTGTGATAAGAGATCTATTTCTATTCCAGGCCATCTTAATATCATCCTGAAATAAAATATTTTGTCGAAGTAAATGAACTATGTAAAATATATATAAAATAATTCAGTTTTTTAAACTTCAAATTTTATTTAAAAGGACTTATACTCAAAATAATTTAATATATATATATATATATATCTGGTCGTAATATTTCACCAGAGATCACATTTTAAAATATTGAAATATAATGTATTCTGTCAAATAACTTTATCTTTATCGTTATCTTTATCTTTACCATTCATCACATTTTATAAATATAACATGCTAATAATGTTTATATTTTCAGCTTCACAGCTAGTTGGTGATCAAGAAATAAACTCTAAAACTAAAGATTTAATAATTTCTGTGGGTGGAGTATAAACAATTTGGTTAATAATAGTTATGTACTTCTATTGTTCCGACACTGAAAATTAGATTAAGACGCTAAAAGCTGGAAAGTGCTTAGATCATGCTTGGACTGACTTGGTAAGTACTGTAGTCATGGCTCATTGATATAATGTATGATGCCCAGGGCTAGGCCACATGGGGTTTATGTCCCCACTCCATTAACAGCTTTTGTAATACGCATTAAGTTAATAATTTCTTTATTACAATTACTAAAATAGAGATCCTAAGTTAAGTAAATCAAGGTGCAATTCCAACCCCCCGATTTAAGGACGTTTTTTAAAGTTTTACTCGCTTCAATGGTGAAAAAAAANCCCCGTTATTACCTGATGTCTGAATTTCTTCTGTTGTTTTAATCTAGTGTATTCTATCTGAACTCTTTTTCTCCAATCAGGACTAAGTAACTTTTCCTGTACAACTTTACCCATTTTATATCTCTTTTAAAGCCTCTAAAATGGTGTCTAAAATTGGCTTTAAGTCTCTGAAATTAAATACAACAATCACAGACTTGTAGGTTATTAAACCTGATCATTATTAGTTAATTAAGATTGTTAATGAAATAATTAATTGTTAGCATTTGTTATGAATTAATAGCAAAAATTGGAATTGAGGGAAAAACAACTATGATAAATGCTGCATAGGACAGCAGATATATCAATACAGTGTCGGTTACTGAAATAGTGATATGATACAAACTCAGTGTCTGATAATTAATTTGTAAATACACCGACCATTCATAATATTGTAAAGTATTTTAGAACTGGTTTCTGTATTTTATCACCATTTTAGTCAATGATTGTGTATTGATATATAATATACACATAAAAAGGATTGTAACAATGGAAAACTATCACAAAAAATTGGTTAAAGGGAGTGACCGGCTATGTATGGTAGTTGAACTGAGTATGCAGTATTGTGGACAATTTTTTTAGGATTCATTTAGCACATATAAACGTTTCTATGATGTATAATCACCAAGTTTGTGCGCAAAGTCGACTTTCAAAATCGTCTTGTTGAGAGGATACCATTGACAATTTTGTTTTTAAAATTATTAAAAAATTACGCCAAAAATGTAAAAAAATATTTCTACAATAAACTGATTGCATAAATGGAAACAGGTTGGAAAAAACTTACCCTCATTTTTAAAAAGTTTGTTTTATAGGATTGATCAATTGAAAATCTACATATGAAGATGATAATTTTCTCCACTCAATTAATAGTCATTTAAAATTAATATTTTTAACAAAAAATCCTTTTTATTTAAAGTATAATTATATATATATATATATATATCTGGTCGTAATATTTCACCAGAGATCACATTTTAAAATATTGAAATTTAATGTATTCTGTCAAATAACTTTATCTTTATCGTTATCTTTATCTTTACCATTCATCACATTTTATAAATATAACATGCTAATAATGTTTATATTAAATAAATAAATAAAACAGTCACCCATCAGTCCTAAGAGAGGTATGGGAAGAGCCCACGTCACCAAAGGGAGTAGCGGGGTGTCATTGGCGGTTGGCCACACAGGCCAAAGTGTGAACCACCAAGCATTTAATTTTTGTAATTCCAAACGTTATGAGTAAATTTCATTGCCGCCCGGATTCTCGATAAGCTGATTTAGATATACATATCTGAAAATCATGTTGCAGCCAGAGCAGGCGAAACACAAAACTACACAGGAACATTTTGATGAGCAAAAGAAATTTAAAATGAATATATTATACTTATTTCGATGATAAGAGTTTATTGTAGAATTTTTTTTGACATTTTTTCGTCGTTATTTAATGATTAAAAAAAAGATTCTCAAAACGTATCCACCCAAAAAACGATTTTGAACGTCGATTTTGCGCTTAAACTCATCATATAATCGTTTCATATGTCTCAAATGAATCCTAAAGAATTTGTCCACAATACTGCACGCTCAGCTCAACTACCATAGATAGCCGGTCACTCCCTTTAAATGATCACCAAAATAATCTGGAATAGGAAGACGATAATTAACGTATTTTGATCTTTGTATATAATAAATATCCCAAATTTCAGCTGTTGTAAACTACATCGTCGTTGTTTTCCACACTATTTTAAGGACCACTGTATAATACCATAAATTGAAATCAGTTACATGTTAAATTACACAACGTTAATACACGAGTTCAAAACAAAATACAAAAGCTTGGCTACAGGGTGCCCAAATAAACAAACAGATGGCTGGATCAGTTTTTTTGGACAATCTGAGAAAATACCGAATTTTCAAATTTTGTCTCAAGGACTCTCATCTTTAAATCACACAATATAAGCTTGCAAATTTCTAACAAACATTTTTTTCAGATAAATAATTGACGTTGGAATTAATTATTTGAAACTTCAAATATGTCGTGGTAAAGCATGTTTTTCATTTTTCTTGTGCTTTATAATATTTGGCTTAGTTCTAGAACCGAATTTAATGAATTGGAGAGGTCGCTCAACTACATACTGCCAGTTCAACTACTTCTCAAGTGTTCCCTGGCTCAAATTCGATTTAAAATTTTGAACAACCCTAATGCTGGAAAATTAGCATTAAATTCCAACCAATCAGAGCGCCACAAACATTGAGTCCATCAATCTATTAGCTGAAATAAAACTTGGCTTTTATTTCCTGGGATAGTTCAAAGTGAACCAGTAACGAAAATACGAGGTTAAACCAGTTCTACGTAGTTCAACGACTTCTCACAATTCATTAAATCCAATCCCTGGTTAGTCTATTTTCAATAAATTACTTTGACAAGGTTAACATTAATTTAAATAATATCAATATTAAAAAAGGTGGAAATAACGAGAAGAAAAGTATAAGTAAAGTATAAAAGGAATATAAAAAAAGAAGGCAGGATTAGACTAAGAAAAGAATAAGTAAAGTAGAAAAGGAATATAAAAAGAAGGCAGGATTAGACTAAGAAAAAAAGCACATGAGGAGGAAAAAGTAGAAAAACAGGTGAAAGAAAAAATAGAGGAAAGAATAAGAGAGGTAACACTTAATATGAAAGTGAAGAAAAAGATGAAAGGAAAAAAGGAAAAAATTAAGAAAGTATATTCAAATCTAAAGATGATGATGAATTTTCTAGTATTAGCTCTTAAACGCTACAGGGTTCATATAAGAATATAGATAAAAATTTAAAAAAAGGAAAAATGCTTAATAAAAAATGTAGATATAGTATTAGATCTACAGTGCTACAAAGTTCACATGAGAATAAGAATGGAAATCTAAAATAAGAGATAATAATGAATGTATCCTTTAGTATTTATAAAGTGGTACAAAGTTCATATAAGAAAGAAGAATGGAAATCTAAAATAAGAGATAATAATGAATGTATCATTTAGTATTTATAAAGTGGTACAAAGTTCATATAAGAAAGAAGAATTGAAATTGAAAATAAGAGATAATAATGAATGTATCATTTAGTATCTCTAAAGTGCTAAAGGGTTCACATAAGAAAGAAAAATGGAAATTAAAAAGAAAAGATAATAATGAATGTATCATTTAATATTTCTTGAGTGATTAAGGCTTCACATAAGAAAGAAGAATGGAAATTAAAAAGAAGAGATAATAATGAATGTATCCTTAAGTACTCTACAGTGCTACAGGGTTTACGTATTCCGAATGTTGGGGTGCATCAGTTCCAAAAATAACATTACTTCGCTTCTCAGCCCAGAACGTGAACAGAAAGGAAAATACAAGAACAATTATTCCTGAAACACAATAACATATAATAAGGCATTTGCCATTTTCTGTTGTGCGCATATGCCCCGTAAAATTCCAAAACAAAGAGAGGGGGATTGAATTTTGTAGATACAGAAATATAATATTTGGCAGCTAAATGTAAGACATATGGCCGCAGCGCTCGGCCCAGAAAGTGTCTTAACCTAACCTAACCCTAAATAAATACTAATTTGATTATTTTTCTGGATCTACAAAATTCAATCCCCTTTTCTCTGTTTTGGAATTTTACGGGGCATATCCCAAATAAAAAGGTATGAAAATCTAAAATGACATAAATCTTTTTTTCATTAATTGCATGCTAAAATTTCAATATTATTCGTTAGTTTTGGCATTCAAGAGGCCGCTGGAAAATCTATGATTTCTAACATATTTAGAAAAATTTTGAATCTCTCAGAGTCAATGTCTTGATTCACAAATTCTCTGTTATATAATTTTGAAAGTACAGATCGATTTACTTTTATAACTGCTTGACACACCCCATTTAATTGGAATTGACAGGAAAACGGATTCAGAATTTAGNAGGAAAACGGATTCTGAATTTAGGATTTAATTTCGAACAAATATTAGGATAATTATTGAATAGATAGTCAATTACTTTGATATTTTTTTTATTATTTCTTAATTTTCTGAATTAGTTTTAAATTTTCATGTATAGTTCTGCAATATTTTCTGAGATTTTCTCTTTTTTCGTCGTTTATTGTGAAAGCAACTTTTGTCAATCCGAAGGCACTTACTAGAAATGTAAATGACACCAGTGTCCAGTACGTTTCGAGGGTTGGACTAATTTAATTTCTGAACTTTCTAACGCGGAACAGATTCTAAAATTTCTCTTTTTGATTTTAGAGGGTTTAACTTAAAAGGCCGAAAATAGAAACATCAATTGATAATAATCCATTTTTAAAATTAAAAACATGGATACTCGTTCATACTTAATCTTACACAGCTTTACAGGGTGCCATTATAAATCTGAGACAATTGATCTATTAAGGGTCATTTGAAATTACAAAACGAACCGAGAGCTCTACTTTTTTCTTACCTATAGCAAGAGTGAAGTGCTGACTGGCAGGGCTTGCTTTTAGAAACATTCTTCCAGATAGAGATTTCCAAATAGATTCTGTCCAAGTTGGATACTGACCACTGAAATTAACAGTTTATAGAGCGCAGGATCCTTTTTATTTTGCTGCGGATCCAGATCCTGAATCTTTCCTGTTAATAAATGGATCCGGATCCTGGATCTATCCTCTTAATAAATGGATCCGGATCCTGGATCTGTCCTCTTAATAAATGGATCCGGATCCTGGATCTGTTCTCTTAATAAATGGATCCGGATCCTGAGTTTGTCCTGTGAATAAATGGATCCGGATCCTGGATCTGTCCTCTTAATAAATGGATCCGGATCCTGGATCTGTCCTGATAATAAATAAATCCGGATCCTGGATCTGTCCTGTAAATAAATGGATCCGGATCCTAGATCAGTCCTGTAAAAAATAGATCCGGATCCTGATCAGTCAAGTAAGTAAATGGATCCGGATCCTGGATCTGTCCTGTTAATAAATGGATCCGGATCCTGGATCTGTCCTGTTAATAAATGAATCCGGATCCTGGATCTGTCCTGTTAATAAATGAATCCGGATCCTGGATCTGTCCTGTAAATAAATAAATCCGGATCCTGGATCAGCATGTATATAAATAGATCCGGATCCTGGATCACTCCTGTAAATAAATGTACAACTTGGCTAACATTTGTTGAGTGAACCCATATGGGTACTTTGGGAGGTAACATAGGCTAAAATATCGATTTATTTTTCTTAAAAATTTTTTTTTTTAATTTGACGAACAACGCCGGGGCACTTCAGCTAGTAATATATAATATCGAAACTCAGATTTAAAAATCCTACCTTGCCCAATCATAGGTTTCTATAATTCCTTTCTCAAAGGCTGGGCTCAAGGCTAGAGTTCTATCCACAGTGGTTCTATAGCAACTACCGCACACTGGGCCTAGTTATGGTCAAAAATTATTCTATAAAGATCTCCAAAACTGCTGAAAAAAAATTAATCAGCTGATACAGGACACAATAGAAGAAGTTGGTTCAGCTAACTGATTCAGATAAAACAGCAGATTGAGCTTAATCAGCTGATTCAGCGAATCCCTCTGACAATACCTATTATTTCAAAGTGGAGTGGGATGACTTTACTAGAGAAAGTGTAGTTTCCAGGTAAA